ACTTTTAGTGCAGATCTTTGACCTAAGTCACATAAGTTTCAAAACCAAACATTGAGATGTAATTCATCATTCGTCCACTTTGTAATTATACTTCATTCTCTTGAGACGACACGTGGCCTGTGGCGGCAAACGGTGGCAACGAAGCGAAATGCGCTAGGTGCACAGCTGCCCGGGGCGCGGCATCAGCTCAGTTCTGCATGCTAGTTGCCTTGCAACGGTTCAGTGAAAAGGTTTAATTTCGAAGTAAATGATACTGCTTTCTTATTTTGAAATATCATTGTTCCCTTTAATAAAAAAACACAGAACTCTTTCTTGTTGTGAGTCAGTATCATTAATTGCCTCAAAGTGTTAGTTATAAAATTATTTTTAGTGACAACTAAGCTTTTTCAAAACAATGAGATTGAATTAATTACATTCTATGGTATATTTGGCAAACTTTTTTGCCACACACATTTCCAGCTCAAATACCTGCACGACCGGCGTTTTTAAATGAAGAAGTGATTAGAAAATAATGCTACACTTCAAATGTACTACATTTCAAACATTTTTTTACAATAATATTGTACCTTTTTGTAGAAGTCCATTAACTGGAAATACATTAAAGGTAGAGGGGTAGTTTTAAAAATATTGCTTAGATAAATAAAATATGTTTAAAACCTTTCTTCTTACTCCCACATTTAGAGTAATTTATGTTGAAATAAATCCAGCGGGCAGTTGTGCCACCCACGTGCTCTTGCATAGTGTAGATTTCATGTTGGTCTTCCAAGAGTGAGTACGCGCACTCGTAAGACCTTCATTCCTCCCATGTGGCAAACTTCCTGCTCGTCGTTTGTCAGTCGTATCGTAATATTATCACCCGAGCATTAATGCCGAGTTTCTTTATTTCGTAATGTAGTCTTGGACGCAAGAGCAACAAATATTTTGCACCCATGCAATGGTCGCACTTGAAATTGGAACAAATCGGTTGCTAAATACTATGAAATTTAGTAGAACGTTGACGTACTACAAATTTTATGAAATGCTATTTAAAACTGTGGTTTATGTGATTAAATAAATATACTCAAATACATCGACGTATATGATTTTTTTGAAAAGTCTTTGATTCTACCTGACATGCAGACTGGAAATTCTGAATTATAGATGGTCTCATTTACACCAAACATGCCTTTTAATTCAATAATCTCGCACGAGGCACTTTGATAATTTAACCGTACGGAGGAAAAGACTAATTTATGAGGTCGATGTACTCTCAACCGTCATAGAGTCGCTTACGAAGTAATTTCGACTGCCTTCCCACTCGCTTCGGGCTTCACTCAACTCGAGCGAACTCAACCGTTCTTACCTCTTCAACCTCTCTGTCGACTTCCAACAGTTGAACACCGCATTGGTTTCCTGTTCCCAGAACCATTTACGGGCTCTCGCAGGTCCAGCTCTGACGGTTCTCACAATGATGTTACGAGATAACACACAAGAGTGTTTCCTGTTTCCGGGAACTAATCTAATAAACATTTTCTCTTTAATCTCTTCGGCCCGCCCATCACGCCCTCTCCAGCCCGTTCAAGGAAGCCGCTCTCTCCTCGCTCCGGAAAGGGCCCTTCGGGAGTTCTCTGAAACGTTGATCAGCAGACTCCTCCATGATCAATGGGCGTCTTCTATTCTCTTACCTGCGTTGTCAGTTCCACAAAAAATCAGAGATCCATGAAAGAAAGTACAGAATGCTGCAATAAATGTTCTTTGCTTCGTTAAATAGGATCATAAAGTATTTCTTGAGTCAACAGTTCTAGAAAGAGACACTCCAAATAACGAAATAATATTTGGAAATTGCAAATACTCTGCTCGAACTTCATTATGTCTCTCGAGTATTCTTTGTCGGCAACGAAGAGAATGATGTAAAACGCGAGCAGGTAGAAGGTCTTGTATGCTCACTCTCGCAAGAAGAAATGTATATGAATATATATATATATATATATATATATATATATATATATATATATATATATATATATATATATATTCAACAAAAATGGGAACAGAATAAAATTAGAATCATTACAAGTGTCGCTGAGAACAAAAATAACAGAATTATTTTATTATAAGTCCACGTATATAATTTTAATTTTTAATTCTAGTTTATTTTCAAAAAGTTGTGTAATATTTGTTACTACATGTTTGAAATTAATATAACCAAAGCATTTAATTTCTTTAACCATAAAGAAAACCGATGCAGAGTCACTCCATGACTTTAAAAGTGGATCACCTAAAGCATAAATGGTTTAAGATAAGTGTATTCCTAACAAGGGGAGATAACAACTGGAAAATAACTTAACCGTTTATGCAAATGTGGAAACTAATGTTCTCGATGAAAAGTAAAGGAAGGGAAACGAATAGCTGTTGCAAGAAGTGGTATTACAGTACATTTTTACAACCAGTAATGAAGACAAAAATTGGGGACGAAAATGTAAAAAAGAGATTCATCAAAAATAAACTGGTTTGGATAGAAACGAATTGCGCTGAGGGCGTTTCTCCGAGGGCAGGGCGAGCGACCAGGCGAGAACCAATGGGCGTGAAGGGGCGAGTGCATGTGAAGGGGAGTGCTGGCAGGGTGAGTGGGCGCAGAGTGTAGATCAGGTGAGCGAATAGGCGCCCGGCGAAGGAGCAGCAGCGCAGGCGCGAGAGCGCAGAGCCCTTTGCGGCTTCTCGTCCGCTGAGAGCGAGCGCTGGGCGCCGCTGTTTCTGCCCTTCACTCTCCAGCCTCTCCATCGTGTGCCGCTTCATCCTCACCCCTTCCACCTCGTCCCTCCTCCTTCCTCTCCTTCGTCCCCCTCCTCCTCTTGGAGGGTGAGGAGAGGGGCGTGGCCATTGGGTCTTCTGCAGCCTCGGCTTCGGCCTCGGCCACAAACCAAATGCATTGGGCAGTGGGTATGCTCAATATAATTAATCTACGATGCCTCTTTCGAATTTATTTGCTTGAAAACTTAATAAAATATTGTTACCAAAAATGATTTTAGATTCTAATCACATAATAGAAGTAAATTTTTGCGACTTTTTCATTCCGTAGGCTGTTTTTATTTCATTTTTACCCAGTAATATATTATTGTCATTTATTTAGAATTTAATATATCAAAGAATGAGTTATTGTATAAAATACATGGAAGTAGTTAAATCCATCTAAACTGTTTAGCTGATTCAACAAACTGAGTTTGACCGAGCTGGAGTGGAGCCTGGAGGGGGAACCCGTGTTGGGCGGGGGCGAGCAGCAGAGGGTAAAGAGCTCCGCCACCCCCAGATACAACATGCACTACACTTACATATACGAATGCCAAAAGTAGTTGCTGCGCCCGGGACCTACGAATCCCTCTGAGCCAGGGGAAAGCGGCTGCGTGAAGGGGAAAACAACCGCGCAGCGCGAGTCACAACGTCGCTGCCCGCGGCCAGAGCGCGCTGCTCTTGCGCCGACAAATGAGTCACGCAAGACGAGCCCCGCCCCAAACGCTTTGCCCATTTTGTTCGCTAATCGCCTCCGGAGCGCGCGCGTTTTGTTTCCGCGCGAGGAGCTTTGGAGAGTGAGACGCATCGACTCCTCCTGAGCTCCTGAAGAAGCGCCGCTGCGCGAATGGCGGCTTGGGGAGATTAAACAAACGATGCGCGTTATTCCTCCGAGAGCAACAGAAGAAGGGGCTGATGTGGAAATGCTTCTTGCTCCGGGAGGTCGTTGTTCAAGAAGATCGTTGGGTCTTTGTTCCTTCCTTTTCGAGTGGCATTAGGCGCTTGTTCTCCCGTAATGTCCCCGTGCGTCTATTTACCAGTTGCTGTGGAGACTGACGAAATGGACGCGTGTTTCCAAGTATAGGAAAATTCACCAATCTTACGACTGTATATGTCCATGTTGTAAACGTTTTTTTCACTGAAGGTGGTGTTCCTTAAAAGTAGGTCGCCTTCGTGTAAGTAATAACTGTTTTTCCCGTAGAATTTGTTGTATTTGGCAGTATTTCATAGTATTTGAGAATCGAAGTTCAAACGTCCTTGTTGCTTGGTGCTGTAATTTTGAGTAATGTTATGTTATTCCTTTTTTACTAGTTTTCCTGAAATTTTGAAACATTGTTTTATTCTGATTCTTATTCTTTTTCTTTTCTACTATCTTACGCAATCCTTCATTTCTTCATATTTCTCTATTGTTATCTTAAGAGTTTTAAAAATGAATTTCAGGAATATGTGAAGAATATTATATTATATTCGATGTATGTGACTTTCCAATCCTCAAAGTCCTAAATTTTCATGTACGGTAAAAGATATATTTTAGTAACAATAAAATAAATTCACAGTTTTAACGTATTTTCAGACCTTACCTGATCATAGGAAATCGTTTTTAGCCTTCTTATTATTGTAGAACGGTAGTGCAGCGTTGATTAGAAATGTGCCTTTATTTTTAAACGTTATTTAAATGCAGTTTTAATAAAATTTCTATTTTCTAAAGAACATCGTTATTGCTACGCGCGATCCATCGGCGCCAACTAATTATCCTTCGAACGGCTGCACTTCCGGTAGCGGCCATCGACATCCGGGACATCATTCCGCTTCGCCCCGCCAGACGGCAGCACTTGTGATAAACCTTCCTGTCCTTCCATCCCCTCCCTGCATTCAAAGCACGCGAGCATGGCGCACGAGACAAAGTTGGAAAATAAGAATAACGGATCTGCTGAAGTTTCCTCGCGTTCAACCTGGGCCCTCACGCAGCCCGCTTGTTTCTTTCGGCTGTGGACTTTTCCCTTTCTCCAACATCTCAGCTTATAATAAGGAAACATGCTGTTTGGTAATACGCAGCAATCCGTCTCTGACTGCTTTAATCTTGAACTTTGTTTCCATATTTTCACAGGTGAGGTAAATTATGAGGAGGAAATTCCAAGATGTTCTCAAAAACTTGTTATTGGTTGAGGGAAAGATTAAAACGAAAAACCCGACTCAGTAGCTGGCAGTTCTTATGTATTTTACTTTTCTAGTAGGTTTACAACCGCTCAAAAAACAGCGCACGTATGGAAGGGAAATTTATTGTAGTCCAAAATGAATATAAATAAGGTAGAGATTCCTTGATTCCACTCAAACGAAGCATTACTCATTGCAATGTATACAAAATTCAAACAAGTGTTTTGATAATAGAAACACTATGTACTAATTGTAAAGTTTGAAATTCAAGATTATCTTGTGACACAACATTAAGTGAAACATATTTATCGCCTAGGAAACAGAAATGTGACGGACGGGTGAGAGTTATATTGTATGCGCAATTATTGTTGATATTGTTTTATTATTTCACTAGCTATAGTAAAATACACAAGGTATCAACGAGCATAGTTGGCCAGAAATTTTCGCTTCCGAGTAATAAAAAGTGTATTTCCTTCAGCAAAAGCAACTACAGATTCGATGCTTTAGTTTAATCGACAAAGTAACAACCTCGCAGATTAGCTCCTTCCGTATATAATGAAAAGAGAGCTAAACAAAACGTGCTCCCAATGCAGCTACATGTGAAGCCCAGACGCAAAAGCAGGACGGGCTCATGCGTGACCAGACTCTCCTGTTCATTGGTCAGTCAGCAGTCGACCACGTGGGTCTACGCGCCGGCTCACTCACGCCACATTGTTCTGTATATATTAAAACATAACGTGGAATATCTGGAACCCAGTTCTTCCCTCTCTTAGACTAGTTAGATTACGATTATATAAATATAACTTTTTTCTCATAAATACAACCCAAAACATTGTTTAGGAGAAACCTTTTATTTTACCCACACCCTTTTATTTTACATCTTGATGGCCTTTTTTCTCCGCTGTTTTTTATATTTGAGCGTTTCCTTGCAACTACTTTCTCATTCTTTCGTCCTTGCGATACAGTGACTCATACACTCATGCGATTCGCAATATTTGAACATTACCATTATATCCCGCACTGACATTTTGCCACCTCCTTTATCCCTAATTATTCGGTTTCTGTTGACGCAAGCACTTCTCCTGGCCGAAACCCAGCAAGTCGTTGTCCTCTCCGTGGAACAGTTAAAGAACGAAATTCCGCGCCGTCGGGGATCCCCCTCGCTCGACAGGCACCGCGCGCCACTCAAGCCGAGCGAAATTCCAAGACAAATCAAAGCCGCTTATCCACTTCGAGGACTGAATTTTCCACAAAACACTTAAGACATTCGTGTTCCTTTTCATCTTCGACAAATTCCGCATTCTATGATATGCCACTGTTGAATTTACTTTTCCCAAGGTCGCAGTTTCTGTTCTACCTTTTCACGCGCTCTGCTTTGAGCAAGTTTTACGGTACGTTATTGTGCGGTTGTGTAGGACGTCGCGATGAAGTGTTGCGTCTGTTCAGGTGAAAAGTGGGTGTTGACCGGAGAAGCAACAATTACTTACAGCATAAGTACCAACGACGCGCCCCTGTTCTAGGATACCTCATTTGCTTTTTGTGGAAAACCTGATTCGTGAGTCATGCGTAATACAAAATATCTATTTTTACATTTATATCTTTACTTTTTTCTTCGGTTGTGAAAATAATACGAATGAGAAGGACACAATGCTCTCTTATGTCATTAATGTCTATATATTCTATCGTGTTATAATATTTTACGGCAATAATTTTTTCGAGTTGTATTTGGTAGAAGATGGGCATCTGTTCAAAAGACCCATGTCTAATATGAAATCTACCTCGCAACTGTGCTTCCGTTCCTCCACATTTCGACCTCTGGTGTTGCCTAGGACTTTTGTTTGGTGAAGTCGCAGCGACCGCGAGTGGCGGAAGAGTCCTCCCCGCCCACTTCCGGTCGCCGGAGGTCGCAGAGTTGGCCGAGTGGACTGGACTCGGCCACGCCGCCGCGCAGTTGCCTCCCCGACGAGGAAGCGTTGAAATCCTCATTTGGCTGAATGAAATTTACAGTCACAAATTATAATAAGTTTGACAATTTAATATTACTATAATTTGAACATAATTAGTAAAATTAAATATTTTTATTATTTATGTTGTTTTGATTAACTATATTACTATTATTGTTATCATTGTTATTAAATGTTTAAGACGTTTTTTGATTACTACCTACTGTAAAATATATAAATAGTAGTTTACATTTGTAATCTTCACTTTTAAAAATGACACATTCCAAAAGTGTTTTGTTAACGAAAGTAGTATTAAAACAAATGAAACAAAAAGGTACGATGCCACATTTTGCCGGTTTGAAGAAAACGGTAGGAAACTGTTCTTAAAGTTAAAATTCAAATTTCCATGTGTACATGTGCGTTGTTCATGGACTCTGCGACGTCTGTAGAATGCTCTTCAACTACTAATGTTAAGAAGAAATTATCTATCGCCGGAACTTTGAACCTTTTCGCTTGCTCTTCAAAATATGAAGCTTCTCAAAATCGAACGTTTTTGTTTTCACCGTTTCAAATGTGTTTCCCTTCAAAAATCAACTTTACTCTCTATTTAGGATTGCTTAAATTAAAATCTCGATATTTATAACGTCCTGATATTGCGTGTTTTACATGGCTATAAATGGAAATAATGTCACATTCTAAAGAGAAAAAATACGAATTTTAATAAATAAATCCATTAGTATAAAAGTGGTTAAATGAACATTAGAAGTTATTGAAGTTTTTTTATCGAATCTTCACTCCATGTTAATTTTGTCTGATATGCAATGACAATATTTACATAAACCGTATTAAATCTTATCATTTTGATTTGAAGACGAAAAGATGTGTTCTTTAATAGAAGAAAAAGAAACAATTGCCAGGTTTGATATAATTGAATCAAATAATAATCTCAGAAGCATTTGATAGTACACATTTCATGGGAGAGAAGGTTCTTGTGCTTAGCGAGGAGGAACCGCTACGCGTAAATCAGGAAGAGAGCATTCGGAGTAAGCTGCTGGACGAGGCGGCAATGAGATCAGACCGGGATTCTGACATGAACATGCCAACGGTTGTTGCAGGAAAGGAGTACGTTAGTTTTCCAAATGCAGCCCCAGAAACTTGCGACCATGTACTTTTGTGATATTTAAGAATATGTTCATACGGATTCAGCCATGTTGAATCAAGCGTCAACGCAGGGTCTCGATTTCATTTAGGTAAATAGAGGAATGTCAATTTTGGAGTAAAATAAATTACTTCAACACGTTTTGTATTCAAAATTAATGTTTTACGAAACATCGATATCTAAAAATTGATTGACTGCAAAAGTTTTCTCCATGCATCTATCAGTCCTGCCTTCTGTCTGTGGTTTTTATTTTTAGAATTTAATAGTCATATTCTCTACTGCTTTTTATCTATTGAGCCAATGTGGCAGTTCGCTAAACAAGTGAACATCGCGTGTAATTCAGAGAAGTATACCTCCGCCGCGGCAGCTGTTTAGCCTCGCCTCTTTGTAAAGTGTTTGTATACGATTCCCGTGAAGATATCCAGAAGTCTAAGAGTTTCGCTCAGGTATATGCAGGTACGTGAGTCCGGGAAATATCGAAATTTAATTACGTATGTGGGAAAAGTCTTCAAATTGTCTCGTGGCGCTCTGTAATTTCGCCGGACGAGGACATTACAAAAGTGAGCATCGAAGCCATTTACGAGTTAGCCAACTGCAAACGAACGAATGGGGAAAGGAGAATCTAATAGGCTCAAGAACACAACTTCAGTTGTGTTGCCAACCCTACTTGTCAAACCGGTCCATGTCTATAAAAATCGCTCTATAATAACTTTTTTTTAAAAGTTCGGTCGTTGAATCGTTTGTTTGTTGTTTACAAGGCCCACAAGCGGACCCAATCTCGAAGTCTGATGAGCCATTACGGGCATACAAGCGAGCACTCCATAACAACGTAAGTGCAGTTAGCTTTTCCCGCGCGTGCAACTGACGGCGGGCCATTGTTGGGAACAACCTGGGAATCCCGTGCCGACCTCGCGTCCAGCCTGTTCGCGAATCAGAGCAATAGACTGCGCCGCCGGTGACGCGCAGTTGGCGCTCTTCCGTACTAGAAGGGGAAAATGGAGAGTGCCAATGTTCTCATAAAATGAACTTCTCTTGTTACGACGTTTCAGTCTCACAACGCACCTGAACCTAACATTTTGTCCAGGTATAAGCCAGCAATCCGTGGCTGCGGATTTGCATCTCATTTCCACGATATCTCGGGCGGTCGCGCGCCATTTCCTGGCCTCTGCGCCGAAGAGCGCTGGCGAGGTATTTGCGGGGAGCTCGCCGATGGCGGAACTACGAAAGAGATGTCGTTTCCATTAAAAATAGGGTTTTATATAGACTTTAGTAATGTTTTGAATAAAACTGTTACGGTATTCTACTAAATTTAGAATGTACTTAAGATTACTGTATTATTGTTGATACTCAGAGAATACTATTCGCAAAATACAAACATACCTATCTCGGTTTAGAAATAGAACGATTTTGAAACGAACATTCTAAATTCCAGTGAACTGTTCTCACTTCACCTCTGATGGTTGGTAGTTCTTGAAACATTACGTTTCTCGTCGAACAATAGGTGAGGTGTGTATCGTGAACTAACTTGGTCCCGTCGGAGGTCATCTCCAGAGTTCATCGAAGCCACGATACAAAACCGTTATGCAGAACAGCTCGTCAAAGTCTCGTGTGAGAGACTCGCAGGAGAGGTGAGAACACAAAGATAAGTTGTTTGCTGGAGTCGCTTGCGTCAGCCCCATTCCCTCAACCGAGGCCACTCCGTCTGCCACCAGCGTCAACGCGAGTGCCGGCGCTGCTCTTGGGAACGAGACTTCAACGACCCGCGTTCACGTATTTCCTCCAAATCCCCTCTATGCACGTTGGATCGTCTAGTGGATGAGGAACTTCTAATTTCCTCTGATATAGGAATACTTGCGAGTGTATTTGTCTTTAGAACAATAACGCCTTTACTTCTCGTCTACGTACGAATATATGGAATAATATACGTAGTAAAGAGAAAGTTACGTATTGCTGCTGAATATCGACATATTGCGGTATTGGGGGTGGTCGCGGGTATTCGAGTACTGCCCACAACGAGGCCACTAGACTTGGCTTCAGTGTACCCTCCTCCCTCTACCCGGAGGCTGCCTGTGTCCGCGTAGCGTCCGACAACACTTACGACGAGCGCGTCTCGCTTTAGCGTCAGGCGTTCAAAACTTGAGCAGCAACGCCCGCCATAGTAAACTACGACACGTCAAATGACTTGCTTTTTTCTTTCTTCCCGTGGGCTTGCAGGTTTCTTACACGGTCGTTCCTTATACAGAACAACCCACGAGGGGGAGAAGAAAGTTTTAAAGTTGATTTTGCAGTAATGAAGTTGGCAGAATCCTGATGGAACTTTGAGGCGAAAGTTACTCTAGCTCCAACCCAAACTTTGGAAAATGTCTTCGTGCACGCAATGTTTTCTTAGAGGTCTGGTTCACATAAAGTGAAACTTATTCTCTATTTTAGCTTTTTAGGCGCAAGCACATGACACGTTTCGATAATTTAATACGTAATATTTCGTGTGCATAGTAGATGGTTGCAACAACTTGTAATTATATTTTAGCTTACGAAATAGCAAATCGTAAAGAAGGTCAAACGCACCTTTGTTGAATGATAAGTTCTGGATTCGAGTACCACTGGCAGCCAACTTTGTAACCAAAGAAGTAGATAGATCGCGTTTCTCCACTGCCTGTGGCAATGACAGCGTAGATTTGATCCTTTTGGATTACTTTGTAAATTCCAGGCGAATGTCTGCCATTAAACTAGACGAAAGACAGCGCGACCCTCCCTCCGCCCCTTCTGTCCTTCCGCCCTTCTGCCCTTCTGTCCTTCCGCCCTTCTGCCCTTCTGTCCTTCCGCCCTTCCGCCCTGAGGGGAGGGCTGATCACTGCGGTTGACGCAGGGGTGCCAACGGATTCACAGCTTAGCTCTGTAGTCACAACCCCATTGGCCACAAAAGTAGTTCGCATTGAGGAGATACAAATGGTTTTCTGATATGAAGCCACTATATACGTAATTATACACTTCAAATTCCTTCTACTTCTGTCGTGTCGATCTTTTATCGTCAAGATGTTTAGAGCAATCAAATTATTTACAATATTTCTCCATCGCTCAAGAAAATGTCCTTCCCCTCTCACTGGTCTGTCCCCGCCCCTGCCGCCAGCCTCATCTCGCCCAATGCTTGTAAGACAGTCGAGTTTAGTCACGTCCTCTACCTGCCTGCGCGCCTGGCATACAACTTTGTGTCTATTTGTGTTGTGTTAAATCCGTTCTATCTACGGCTCCTTTTATAGCTCTCCCCTTTACCGCCCCCTTCGCCTTCACAACTCTCCTTATATCTCCATGAACAGCTCTGCCGTCTCCCGTCTCCTGCTCCTGGTCTCCCGTCACTAGACCTGTTGGCCGTTTTTGTCTCCAGCTGCACCTCTGTTGACGCCTCTCCCTTCCACTTCCTCCTCTCTCTCACTCCAGTGACCATTATCACCTCTCCTGCCTCCCACACCATCCCTTTCTCTTCCATTTTTTCCCCACCTTCGTCTCTACTGTCTTCTATCTCTTGCTCTTGTCCATACGCGCCATCTGCTAACTCTTTCCTTCCCTCATTCACCTTCCTCTCCCTGCAACGTTGCTTTAAAAGGTGAAATGTTCGGCGCCGCAACAGCGCCAGCGGGGTTGAGCGGGGGAGGGTATCCCACGTGGGCCCTGTTTCCAATTACCTGCGCCGTTTCATTATTAAGGCTGATATGAAGCTGTTAACGGCAGCGACCGGCTTTTAATTAGAGCCCACGGCGGGGCGGGGCGGGGCGTGGAAGGGGGGAGGCAGGAGCAGATCGCTGAGGGCCGTGGGGAGCGGAAGTGGGATCGAGTTGTTATGCAGAGGAGTCAAGGCAGAACGGGTGTGTGAATCCATGCGGCGGTTTTGTTGCTGAAGCGCTGCAGTTCCGAACCGCCTCACTCTCTCCCTCTCTCCTACAGCGCACGTTTGCGAAACTGATTGGGCATTGTTCAGTGTTGCGGGCGTTGATTGTCACTTACCAACATTTCTTTTGTTTCTACTCTCTAGAACATGGTTCAAGACATGTTTTGTTCCTTCTAACACCTCCAACGGGAGGCACTCAAACTGCCTCCTTTTTCATGTTAACGATTTATGGCGCGGTTTGATTGTGAGTCGCTCCTTCGATGGTTTGATTGTGTTCATTGTGCATTTTCGTTTTTCGCACTATTTATATAGTGTGTGGCGAAATAAAAAGCTCAGAGGGGCTTCTCGCCCTATCGCTGCCACCGCAGTCATTGGCGTCAGCCTCAGTGTGTGTGATGCGACCACGTGCCATTACCGATTTCACCACCCGTTGGTGCAGCTGGTGGTCGCCCGGCAGCGGTCGGCGACTGCATTTTCACAAATCATTATTTTCATCGCCGTTCGTAGGTTAAACTGTGTGCCGCTTTTCGAAGATCTGACCTCCCCCAATTCTGAAGTGAATTTCCATACAAAACTTCGTATCACCATCACCAATTATGTGCAGGAATACGGGTTTCATTTAGCGAATGTGTGTTAAAATAATACCTTGTGCGTTTTGAAAAAAAATGTAGTATTAATCTTTTTTTGATAAATTCGAACTCAAATGCCATGGACAGTGTAAATGTAGGTAAATATTATAATATACAGTTTGAAGTAGTTAATTACACAGTTCTACTATATTTTCCGCGAATTATCGTAAAAAAATTCGATGCAGAATTGTGTTTGTTTGTGGTAAATTAAATATGGCAGAAATATTGAATACGCGTATACACATCCCAGGAATTTTTTTTTTTTTGCGAAATGATTAATTTGCGATTAATTCGTGCGAAAAATAGAGTTAATAAACATAAAGAAATCACAACGCAGGTTTTGAAATTAAATAGGCTGTTCTACCTATTTAAGAATAGCATATTAAGTTTTAGAAGCGTTTTATGAGTATTAAATGTGAATTGGGGTTTATTTTACAAGCGTGGGTAAAGGCAAT